CCTGCACAAAACCAGCCCAACCTAACAGTTCACAGTTCACATAGCACACAGCTCAACAACAACACTCTAACAATTATATATCTTCAACAACAAATTTAATATTCATCAATCACAACATCCATAAAAAAGCACTCACAAGATCAACAATACACAAGATCACGTTCATCACTGATAAATATGTGCAATGTAATGAAATGTAATGTCAAGTATAGTGATGCATGTCTGACCTAACGATACACACCGGCTGTCTTTCAGTCCGGGACTCATGGGGGACATATATATCCATGCATCCATCACGGCGTGCGATACGACCCTTGATAATAAAATCCATCGAAGCATGCGACACGTCCCTCGATAATAGAATATGTCGTGGCCTGCGACACGTCACATGAAAATAGTATGCGTTGCGGCGCGCGACACGTCCCTCGAAATGGTACATTCTCTTTTATCTTCTATTATTTATCAATTCACATAACACTTATCACAACCATGTCTCAAAAAATTGCAAATGACACGTTCACACAAATAATGAGGAGATGAAAATTTTCATAACAATGCATAATTCACAACAACACAATTGTGATACAACATCAACATTATTTGTGTGATGTGTTGAAAATGGACAAGTAAACTCATTACCAAGTCCCATTACTCCCCAACACATACCACAAGGAAATACATGATTCTATACACTTAACAAGGGTTTAGAAATCCACTTGCCTCAAATAGTTGAACAATCACTCATGGACTTGAGTCTTCCTCTTACGTTGGACTTCCAAATTAATGCAATCTATCCGAATAAATAATCACAATAAGATTTCAAAACTAACAACACTCATATTATTATGTGTCTATCCTTGACCCAAAAACTAACTCAAATCTATAATCAAGTTCCTAAATCTTGATTCCAACCAATAGGTCAAATCTCATATTCCTAAATTTTAAGTCCAGGGTTATGTTTTTATTCCTCTAACTATCAGAAATCTAATTATATTTTTATAATACATTACACCTAATATTTAATTACATATCTCAATATGTCAAAACTTGAATCCAATTTATAATGTTATACAAAAAATTCCAACACAAAAACCAAAATAAAAAGGAACTGTTGAAATTACCACCATGAAAAAGGACGAAAAATTATATGCATTAACTAACCTATATATTAATTGGTGATGAATCTACCCATCATTACCTAATGATTAGTTGTTAGTGTTATGTTAGAATCCGTCAAAAATATTTGATACTTCTGCCAAAAGTTCACCATATTTGAAACAAAATTTAATTGAACATATAAGATAACTATTTAAAAATTAATACATTACAAGGGGATTTCCACCCAACCATCAATATGTATAAAACTTTGGAGCTTGTTTAAGCTTTACATGAATACGTTTTTTATTAATTATGCCGACTTCAAAGTTGAGTTCTCTTGTAAGACACTTTCAGCCGCAAATGATTTGTGTTGGAGTAATAATAATAATAATAATGATAAGCCCTTTAACTTAATTTAGTTTTTACATATGAGTCAAGTGACATAAAGTACTAACTTAAATTATGGACCTAGCCCATTAATCACCAATTAATAAAAAATAATTATTTAATAAATATCTATTACTTAAATAACCATAGTTATCGAATACTTCAAAATTCTCAAACCAACTTGATCGAGTAATTAGGAACAACGCGGGGACATTATCTGGAGGGGTAAAATGGTAATTTAAAAATAATCAGAAATGACTTTTGGGGTCATTACATTATCCACCACTTAAAACCATGTTTTTCCTCGAACATAAGAAAGAATAATCGACGTTACCAAAAGCTTAAGTTATGACCTATACATCGGTGTTCATCTCTCAAAGTAAGCTCTTCCTTGTGACCATTCTATCAAGATCAACTACTAAGAACTGAACTTTCGAATCAAACTTTGTAAGATCTATAAATCAAGAGAGATTATCAAGCAACATACTAATCCATAAACCCAATCTAAATTGAAACCCACTGGACCATAACACAACCATCATGACAAATCTTTTCTCATATAACCAAGATAGCATTCTGAATCAATAGCGGCTACAACCAGAAGGGAACCTGAACTAACCACCACACACTCATAATGTACGATCCATCAAAGGTCTTGTCAAGATTCTGTTCTCACAACCAAATCTTTCGACAAACTTAAGCTATAAAAAAATCTGATCTTTAGACATTGGATACCCATCAAGTGAGAATCAGACTTATATAGCCTAAAGAAGGAAATTATTAAGTAAACACCCAGCAAGTGATACACTTTAACGTATCGAACCTCTAACAACACTATTAGAAAATTATAACTCTTCAGAGTAGCTTTGATATAAGTTCTCATAAGCAAGGTTGTGCGTGTAGAACTAATGCAATACTTCAACTATCCCAAACTGTAACACCGCGTAGCTTAGTAGGTTAACTAGGGCTAACTGGGAGGGAAACAAGTCAAGGGCCAAGGGAAATGGGCCAAGTATGCCCCATATTCCCAACGCACTACCCATGACCACGTGAGCCTTCACGGCTCGTGGTGGCCACCACGACCCGTGGCTCCACCCGTGGTGGTGAGGCAGTAAGCCCCCAAGGTTTCCCCAAGTTGGCCTCCTTCACATGAGCCATTTCACGACTCGTGAAGGCTTAGACGGCTCGTGGGAGTGGTCGTGGTCTTGCCTTGGATATTTGGGCTATTAGGGTGGTGTGGCTTAGACACTGGTCAACGGACTACGGGCACCATGAAGGGCCGTGTGACCCTTGACGGGTTGTGGTGCCCCATGTGGTACCTGGGCAGCTGACTTAAAATTGAGGGTTAATTGGTTTTTTCCGGTTTTAATCCAACTAAAGTGAGGTCATTTTGCCTAAGTTTAGGTCAACTATATAAGCCCTTTTAAATCTCACACTCACCCATTCAGCTCATTATTTCTGAAACCCAAAAGATTTCCCCAATGGTCATCCTCTCCAAACAATTCTCTCTCTAGAAACTTGAGGAAGAATAAGAAGAAGTAGATTTAAGCTAGGGTACAATAGCAAGCATTTACACCTCAATTTCTTTGAGCTTTGTTGTTAAGGTATGGTAGTTTTCATCCATGGATAGCTTTCATCTATGGATAGCTTTCATCTATGGAGTCATCTCAAAATCTCCAATTTAAGAAAGATAGAAATCCGCAATTGTTAGGGTTTTATTCCAAAGTTATGGGTTCCTTTCAAACATTATTCTAATGGTTGAATTATGTTATATTAAGCATGAATTTATGATTTACTATGGTTTTTATGATGTATCCCCAAGAACCCATGAAATTCCCATATTTGTCAATTCTGATCTTATGATGTGGGTCTTTGTTGATCGATGAAATAGAGATGTTATGAATTAATGCATGAAGTGATAGAATCACATGAATTATAATGATATCCATGTCTAATTCTTGAATTCTAGATGTGTTGATTGAAAGTAACCTTTGGACCTTGAAAGGGCAAAGTATGAAATAACGCATGTTTTATGAAATCTATGTAAATGCTTTTAGAACACTTTGAGAGTGAAGTGTCAATGATTATGATAGTGTTGTTTTTCTGTTATTGAAAGGATATTCTCACATACACACCTATGCATGGACTTTATGTGAAAGGTCTTCTCAGATAATGAAGGTTCTAAGGTTGAAAGGCTTTCTCACCTAATTTAATCTAAGCTTTACATGTAGACACGGATGGTGAAAGTTTTTCTCACGCGTGATCTAAGAGCTATCCTAATTAAGTAAGTTGGACTAATTGTCAAGGACATCCTTCCATGAAACATGAGTTAGGTCAAGAATTAATAAGTACTTTGTGGGATTAATGCTTAGCACCAAGTGGATATTGATATGAGATAGGAGCCCTCATGTCTAATGAGGCCGTGTTTCTAGAAGCCATCTCTTGAGATTGAAGCCCTCACGTTAGTTAAGGCTGGGTTTCTAGCAACAATTTCCTTATCCCATAAACTACGTTCCCCTGTATGATATTTTGCTAGTGGATCCACCTGAGCTAACAAATCATGGTTCTACCTTAGGCAAGTAGGACAACCTTTTTCGGTGTAGGTAATACTGCGTGATCATGTTATAGCTCACATGGTCACATGTCGGTTAATGCTTATTCCCACAACAAGAACAAGAATATGAATAAGGAACTATGGTTACACAAGAAGCTTTGTATATTATTTTCAAAGGTTTTAATGAGTATGATGACTTATATTGCCTATGTTTTACGATTTATGGTTTCTAACCTCTTATGCATGTTTAACTTGGTAAATGGCATGTTTTCAAATGAAATGTACCTTTTTGCAAGTTTCAAGTGTTTTTATGCATGGCTATCATACTTGGTGCATTTTTTTTTCTAACGCTTACTTTTGCCTACATTTTCCCCAAGTGTAGGGTCCGACACTCGACGTGATCATTCTTGTGGCTAGAGCTTGGAATTGATTTATTTCTCGAGCTTGGTGAGTCCTCATGTTTCAAAGATGGATTTCGTTATGTTTAGTTTCTTTCATGTACTTTCCCTTTAGAACATGTTGTATGCGCTAGGCCCTATTTCATTCACTATTATAATAGACGGCTATGTTGAGACAAAGTTTCTAGACTTTCACTTTCTTTTATGAAAATCTTTTTAGTCTTGAAATGTGTTTTTACTCTTATTGTTCTATTGCTTAAGTTATGAAGACTAAGTGACTTTTATGGAGTCCTGTGGGATTCTATATACCATGTTACATCTAGAGGGTACCCCTGGGTGGTGACAAACTTGGTAATCAGAGCACAAGGTTTAGAATGATTCTAAGATGATGTCTCATAAGTCACGTCTAGTAGAATCTTGTTCATGAGTGTAAGCGCGCCACATTTATAAATGAGAAGTTAGAAGATGTTTAGGAAATTCCACTTTTTTCATTACTCTTAAGTCGTGCAATAGAGTTTAACTCTATATGGTCTCTATCCTAATCCTTATTCGATGGTCTATAGGATATGAATACTCGAAGGACTTTTTCTAGAAGGACTGAGAAAGGTAATGTGAATCAAGGAGCTTCTCCTCAAGATCCGGTTGATCTTTTGGCCGAGAACGTAACAAATGTGGAGTTTAGGGCAGATTTTCAAGCATTGGCTCAAGCCGTGACGACTCAAGCCAATAGAGAAGTTGTAGCTCCCATGAACCCTAATGTGAATTCGTAGACTTCAAGAGTGAGGGACTTTGCAATAATGAACCTTCTAGAATTTTATGGCTCCAACGTTGAGGAAGATTCTCAGGATTTTATCGATAAAGTCTATAAGGTACTTGCTATTATGGGAGTGACTCCGGTAGAGAAGGCGGAGTTGACCGCTTACCAATTGAAAGGTGTTGCTCAAGTATGGTATAACTAATGGAAGGACGGGAGGCCGGTAGGAGCGGGTCTCATAGAGTGGGAACTGTTTAAATCGGCGTTTCTTGATAGGTTATTTCCCCTAGAGTTGAGGGAAGCAAAGGTCCAAGAGTTCATTAACCTTCGTCAAGGAGGTATGAGTGTGAGTGAGTATGTTCGAAAGTTCACCCAACTATCCGAGTACGCTCCAACTATGGTGGCAGATTCAAGGGCTAAGATTAATAAATTTGTGATAGGCGTGTCCGACATGGTAGTCAAAGAATGATGTACAACAATGCTTATCCAAGATATTGATATTTCATGTTCTCATGGTGCATGCCCAACAAATGGAGGAAGAGAAACTGAAAGAAAATAATAGGGATGTGGAAAGGGCTAGGATCGGTGATGGGAACTTCTCTAATACAAGGTCTGATAGGCAAGGCCGACCTAAGTTAAAACAAAGGTATTCTGATCAAGGTTTCTCAAACGCTCTTCGAAGAGTCAACAAGGATAGAGTGTCTAACCCTAAACCTCAAAAAGGTAATGATGGTGGATCTTTAGTAGCTAGACCTCCATGTATGAAGTGTGGGAAGAAACATGATGGTAAGTGCCTAGATGACACATATGGTTGTTTTAGTTATGGAGAGAGTGGGTACAAAATGAGGGATTGCCCAATGCTCATGGTTAAGGGAAAAGAGGGAAAGCAAGCTCCTCCTAGTGCTTCAATTTCCAATGCTCCCAAGCAAAACCGCCTCTATTCTCTCCAAAACCGAGGTGAAAAAGATAATTCTCTAGACGTGGTCACTCGTATGTTAAAAGTTTTCCATATAGGTGTGTATGTTTTGTTAGACCCCGGTGCTACTTTGTCTTTTGTGACACCTTATGTGGCTATAAGATTTGATGTACTCCCTGATGTGTTGTTAAAACCTTTCTCTATCTTTACTCCTATTGGTGATTCTGTTGTGGCTAAAATGTTCTATAGAATATGTCCCATTTCCTTATCCCATAGAGTTACTCTTGCTGATTCGGTAGAGCTTGATATGTTAGACTTTGATGTTATCTTGGGTATGTATTGGCTGCACTCTTGTTATGCTTATGTTGATTGTAGAACTCGGGTGGTCAATTTTCAGTTCCCGAATGAGCCTATCCTTGAGTGGAAGGGGGGAAGTTCTATGCGTAAGGGTCAGTTTGTTTCATGCTTTAAAGATAGAAAGCTGATCTCTAAGGGTTGCATTTACCATATTGTTAGGGTAAGGGATATAGATTTCAAAGCCCCTTCTCTTGAGTCGGTCCCCATTGTAAATTAGTTTTCGGAAGTATTCCCAGATGATCTACCCGGTATTTCTCCCGAGCGGGAAATAGACTTTGGTATTGACCTTCTCATAGATACATAACCTATTTCAATTCCTCTTTATAGAATGGCCCGAGCTGAGTTAAAGGAGTTGAAAGAACAATTGAAGGATCTATTAGACAAGGGTTTTATTCGATCGAGTATCTCTCCATGGGGTTCTCCGGTACTCTTCGTTAGAAAGAAAGATGGGTCTCTTCGTATGTGTATAGACTATCATTGGTTGAACAAGGTGACAATTAAGAATAAGTATCCTCTTCCAAGGATAGATGATTTGTTTGACCAACTACAACGGGCCAGTTATTTCTTTAAGATTGAGCTTCGGTCGGGTTATAACCAATTGAAGGTGAGAGAAAATGACATTCCAAAGACGACTTTCTGAATTCGGTATGGTCATTATGAATTCCTAGTGATGTCATTTGGTTTGGCTAGTGCTCCGACGACGTTTATGGACTTGATGAATAGAGTGTTTAGGCAATACCTTGACATGTTTGCGATCGTGTTATTTGATGATATTTTTATCTATTCAAGGAGTGAAAATAAGAATGTCGACTATTTGAGGATTGTGTTGCAAGTTCTTAAGGACCAACAACTTTTTGCAAAGTTTAGCAAGTGTGAATTTTGGTTAAGGTCTGCAGCTTTCCTTGGTCATATTGTGTCTAATAAAGATATTGAGGTAGATCCTAAGAAGATAGATGCGGTTAGGAGTTGGCCTAGACCTCTAACTCCTTTAGACATTAGAATTTTCTTGGGTTTGGCCAGTTATTATAGAAGATTTGTTAAGGGGTTTTCTTCCATTGCCTCTCTGTTGACGGCTATGAATCAAAAGAAGGCAATGTTCGTTTGGTCGGAAGCTTGTGAGAAAAGTTTCCAAGATTTGAAAGATAGACTTATTTCAGCCCTGATATTGACTTTACCAGAAAGTACATATGGTTTTGTGGTGTATTATGATGCCTCTAAAGTTGGGTTAGGATGTGTGCTTATGCAAAATGGTAAAGTGATTTCCTACGCTTCAAGGTAAATTAAAGTCCATGAGAAGAATTATCCTACCCATGACCTCGAATTAGCGGCGGTTGTTTTTGCCTTGAAGATATGGAGGAATTATTTATATGGGGTTCATGTTAATGTGCTTACCGATCACAAGAGTTTACAATACGTGTTTAGTCAATAGGATTTGAATTTTCGCCAAAGGATGTGGCTTGAATTATTGAAAGATTATGACATGAGTGTCTTTATCACCCCAGTAAGGCTAATGTGGTAGCGGATGCTTTAAGTCGATTGTCTATAGGTAGTGTTGCCCACATCGAAGATGATAAGAAAGAGTTGGTTTGAGATGTTTGTAGGTTGGCCCGATTAGGTATTTAATTAGTAGACTCCACCAAGGGTGGAGTCATGGTTCACAATGGGTCTTAATCGTCTTTTGTGGCGGATGTGAAATCCAAGCAAGGTCTAGATCCTATTTTGGTCGAATTGAAAAAGGCGGCACTTGAGAAATCCGTTAAGGATTTCTCCCAAAGGGGGGATGGTGTACTTAGATACCAAGGCCGTTCATGTGTTCCTAATGTTCACGACTTGAGAAGGCAAATCATGTCTGAAGCCGATAGTTCTCGGTATTCTATTCTCCCGGGAGCCACCAAGAAGTACCGTGACTTGCGGGAGGTCTATTGGTGGAATGGAATGAAAAAAGATATCGCGGAATTTGTGGCTAAGTGTCCAAATTGTCAACAAGTTAAGGTTGAGCTTCAAAGACCGGGAGGTTTATCCCAAGATATAAGTATTCCTACTTGGAAGTGGGAAGAGGTGAACATGGACTTTATTGTTGGTTTGCCTCTCAGCCGGAGACAACAAGACTCTCTTTGCATTATTGTAGATTGGATGATGAAATCGTCTCACTTAATTCCCGTCAAGGTTTCCTTTTCGGTAGAAGACTATGCCAAGTTTTATGTAAGATAAATGGTGAAGTTGCATAGAATACCTTTATCCATTATTTCCGATCGTGGCCCTCAATTCACTTCCCATTTTTGGAAGTCTTTCCAAAAGGGTCTTGGCACCAAGGTTAAGCTTAGCACGGCTTTTCATCCCCAAATCGATGAGAAAGCGGAGCATACCATCAAAACCTTGGAAGATATGTTAAGATCTTGTGTATTTTACTTTAAGGGTAATTGGGATGACCATTTTCCATTGATTGAGTTTGCCTAAAATAATAGCCCTCATTCAAGTATCGATATGGCTCCATTTGAGGCCTTGTATGGTAGGAGATGTAGGTCTCCTATTGGCTCCATTTGACCCTTTATATCCACGTTGTCTACATGTTTTATGGAGACTTGAGTTATTATGAACTCGTCCCTATTTCAGTGCTAAATACTACTCCCAAAATATACTCATCTTATATGTTTAAAACATAACTCTTTCTCTGTGGTTTGAGGATATTACGTAAAATCTTATCTCTTGAAAGAGATGGAACTCAAAACTACTCATGAAAACTCATTTGAAATCAGTAGTTCCCCTCATCTTAAATGTGAAAACATTTGCTCTTTGGGAGTACTTAGTCCCCATACATCATTTTAAAGAAATGAACTCAGCTCTAATCTTTCTCAAATTCATTACCTAAGTCTTAAAACAAGTTTAAAACAATTGTGAAAGAGTTTTGAAACAACTCTAAGAACTCTCTTGACTTGACTCTTATCTGTACCTTAAATTTGAATTATCAATTCAAGGGTTATGATCTCATATTATAGAGGATCTATCGATGTTTAAATGTACCTTAGAGTGTAGAAAACAACTAGAAAACAGAGGTACGATTCGAGGAAACTCAAATGGAAAGAAGTGGGAAAGGGTAGAGGACTTAGCATACTGAGTGGCGTAGGGAGCCAGAGCCCTAACTACAGAAGCTAGCTTGCGGCCCACTGAATGGAGCAACGCCCCAGAGGTCAAACTACAGACACTCCTCTTTGGTGCACTAAGTGCCACGGTGCGCCAACCCCCTGCCCAGAAAACCCACAAATTTTCTTGTTTGTTTTTCGACCCTAAATTGTCTATATTCGATTGGTTTCTTCCCCAAACACTTAGATTCGAATACCCAACCAAAGTATACAAAACTCTACTCATGAACAACCTCAAATCTCATCAAATCATCTCAAGAACTAATCCAAAACCCAACAATCAAGATTCAAATGAAAACTTCAACAATATTCATGAATAACTGATATTTTCTACCTTCAAGAATGTAAATACGCTCAATTTAATCATGATTGGTGCGTGGGTGAATGAAACCAACGCTATCTGATCTCACATACCTCTTAGGAATTAACCCTTGGTGAAATCCGCAAGCAAAATCTCAAGAATGTGATGAACGTTGGCTTTTCTCCTCTTTTCTCCTCTTTTCTCCTCTTTTCTCTTCTCTCAAACCCCCTAGCGTTAATTTGGAATGCGTAAACTGAACCAAATAAGTTTAGACCACAAATAAATTATTAAAAATGAATTAA